TCCTTCAGTCAAGACATCCAACTGCATGAAAGCCAGGTCAAATGTTACATCTTCCCCCACCACACACCCCTCAGCAAACCTTCAATGTTATACGGCTTCAGAATCAGTAGCATCATTACATCCCAGCTCATTGTAAATGCCTCGGCTATACAAACAGGAAGACGAATGGTTACTCAGGCAAACTTGAGCCCACAATGGGAAAGGTGCAGAGGAAAAACATTATAACAGCCTCCCTTTGAAAGAACCTGACAGTTGATAGATGAGCATCCATAAAACCCACAAAGGCTGCCTGTGTAAAGCTCCTACTGCCGCCCCATTCTCCCTGGGAAACTATTTACCTTAATCTAGGAGAGAAAATATTATTTTCAGGGCAATTATGTTCCCTACTTTAAATGGGAAAGGGATCATTAAAAAGCTTTCTTTGTCTGATTTCCCTTCTGCTGAAAAATACAAACTGAAGCCTGTCTTCCTTCAAACGATTTCACCGAATACATTTTCCCAGAAATGCGGTTTTTGGGAAGAGGGACGGGGGTGAGGGAGAGGGATAGCTGTGTCCGTCTGTTGCCCGTAGTGCTGGGAAGTTTATTGACGCTTACAGTGAGTGTTTGGGACAGGGATACATTGGAGTCTTGTCAGCCTCTTTGTGAAAGTAGAGGCATTTACAGCGGGTGCAGGGATCAGCTATTGCCGGTGAACAGATGCACAACTGATGGGATGACACAACTTAGCCTACTCTCCCCCCACCCATTCTCCTCCCCCCCGAGAAAACTGAAACAGTACGAAACATTTCACATGACCTAAAACACACATAGGACAGACAGATGAACAGATGGACAGACAGACGGATGGATGGATAGATGGATAGATGGATAGATATAGATAAAGATAAAGATAGATAGAGGTAGATAGACGGATAGGTAGACGATAGAGAGATAGAGATATATAGATACAGGTAAAGAAAATATCTAAGAGAGGAATAAGTTGATCTTGAGTATCATGTGTCTAAATCACAAAATAGGTTGACCAAGCAATAAAAAAGAAATGCAACAGAAGAAGTCAGGATAAATAACCACAAGTTTTTCAGGGGGTTAGGGGACAAAGTTTCTTAGTTCTACTAATTGCCTAAAAGTCCATTCTCGGTCATCCAGGTCATGGTTGTCCCAAAGGTGCTTTTTCAAGAGGCAACCGGACTTCCTTCTTTTTTTCGTTTCGCTGAAGAAACTTTTTGGATAAGAAGCAAAAGATCTTTAAAGTATAACTGGAAGGTCCAGTTGCCTCTTGAAAAAGCACCTTCAGGACAATCTGATGACAGGTGATAGGCTCTTTCTTAAAAGAACAGCTCAGGGGAACATCACTACAGATTTTTTTTTCAGATGAAACATCCAGACCTCTGGGAAGGAATGAGGAAATGCTCCTAAAACAAGAATCCGTTTGGTGCAGTGGTTAAAGTAAATATAATCCTATAAACCAGGAGACTGTGAGTTTTAATTCTGCCTCAGGCATGAAAGCCAGCTGGGCAACATTGAACCAGTCACTTTCTCTCAGCTCAAACCACTTCACAAGGTTGTTGCTGTGGGGAAAACCGATGGAAGAAGGAGTAGGTTAGACAAGTTGGCTGTCTTTAAGTTACTTATAAAAATAATAAAGGCAGGATAAAAATCTAATAAATAAAATAGTGTTGCATCTTCTTGGTAGTGTTTTACACTCCATGCAGAAGTTAAATAAGTTATGTTTGAAATCTCCCAAGAGTAATAGCTTAACTGATAGAGAGCATGACGTGTCCCTATTAAACATGTTTCAGAAATTGACATTCAATCCCGCTATTTCATGAATCACTATCTCACCATTTCACACGAATCTTCTTAGGATTACCTGGGTAAGTTGTCTTTTTCTCCTTACTCTACCATCAAATCTGTTGTTCCTAGTGAAAACCACAGAAAAATATCAATGATGTTTTCATTGCAAAGATGGTTTTCACCCTTCAATTTGAAATGTTGCCTAATTATGAACAGATCAGCCTGTTTATGGCTGATGTTACTTATCTGTTTGTTCACTTGTAAGTCTGTTCTGTCCCATTTCTGCACCCAACTGCAATTGTCTTTATATCTAAGCATTAGAACACTGCAAGCATCTCCATTTAACACTGGGGTATCAAACTCATGGCTCGGGGGCCAAGTCCGTGAGGTGCTTAGATCTGGTTTGCGAGGCTGCCCTGGAAACACTGAAGAACCGGCCCGCAGTGCCTCTGCCAATGAAAATGGTCTTCACACATACTTCTTTTATCCTTGGAAAATATCCTTGTTCTACCAGGCCCATACGACCATTTATACTTTGCCTTAATTCTTTAAACTTTTTTTCTGTTCATGACATTCCAGCCAGGCAGGCAATCAGTCTGCCCCTTCCTCCCATCCCATTCACACTGCCTTCATAGTTGTGTTTTACAATTTGATTTTCGTTCATTCTAGCAGTTGAGACACTGGGCAAGTCGATCCGAAGGTCAGCAGTTCGAGACCCAAGTACTGCATGATGGGACGAGCTCCTGTTCTTGCCTCAGCTTCTGCCCACCTAGTGGTTCTAAAGCATGAAAATGTGAGTAGATAAATAGGTACCACTTCAGTGGGAAAGTAACATTGTTCTGTGTGCCTTGACATATAGTTACGCAGGCCACATGACCACAGAAGGGTCTTCAGACAATGCTGGCTCTCTCAGCTAAGAAACAGAGATGAGTACCACCAATGAAGGCAAATATATGTCTTCCAGGATAATCGCTCGGAGGTGGGAGATATTTCCAATATAATTTACCAGATTCCCCGTATGTTTTGTCCCTGGTAGGACAAACGGGGGGGAGCTAACCACCAGACTGCAAGAACACCCAAACTCATTGTGGCCTCACATTGCAATGAATAAGGACATGCATTCAGTTTTGCAGTTATTAAGATTGTTGGCTGTGTAGGTACAAAAATAGCCAGGGAAATGATTGAAGCCTGGGAAACGGTCTCTTATCAGTCAACAGGAGTGCTGATCTAGCACCAGCTTGTCAGGTACTTAGGAGCCGAGGGCTTGGCAACACAACAAAACAACAATCACCTGCTGTCAATACACCAATCAGACAATAGGGAGGCACCACATGCACGACTCACAGAACAGCCCAAAGGACGTATTTCAGTAGAGAAGTTCCCTGAAGATGGGCTCCAGCGTGATTCTAAAAGCTCGGAAGAGTAAATCTATAGTCCCAGTGACCCACCCAAATTAGATGAGTACTACCCCCTAAGTTGAACATGCCTGAACAGGGGAAACTTTTACCTTTTCATTCTCTTCTTATGACCTCAACATAATTCCATACAAGTCACACAGTTCAAAACAAATTAATTCAGTAATCATTTATTCTTGACTTCATCTCTTCTTGTTTTATCGCATAGAGCATTTAAGTACTCCAACTCCTCTGCATTTAACTTTCATTTAACTTGCTTTTACCCTTTCTCAGATATATCCAAATGTTGCGTCTCTGTGTAGCAGAACGGACAGAGGCACACTCTTGTAGCCCTTTTTTGTTCTTTTGACATTTGTTGCTTATAAACTAAACTAGTACTTCATCTTCTTTACCCTAATTTCTTGATCCTCAGATTCCCTTGAAAGAAGTGGACATATATCTAAGGCTGCCATCCTTCCTTGAATGACAACTCCATCAAGTATCGGTTGGACTTTAACTCTAGAGGAAATACGTTTAGGACAGTGATGGAATTCATTTTTTTTTTATTACTGGATCTGTGGGCGTGGCTTGGTGGGCGTGGTGCAGCTTGGTGGGCATGGCTTGGTGGGCATGGCAAGGGAAGGATATTGCAAAATCTCCATTCTCACCCCCACCCCACTAACCTGCTTTCCAGTTCCGTTCTCCTGTGCAGGGCAACCGAAGAAGATCCAGCCAATCAACTGGGACTTGGGAGGCAGAGAAGAGATAGGGGTGGGGCCAGTCAGAGGTGGCATTTGCCGGTTCTCCAAACTACTCAAAATTTCGCTACTGGTTCTCCAGAACTGGTCAGAACCTGCTGAATACTACCTCTGGTTTAGGAAAAAACAAGCTAAATTGAAACACGCTGCTATTTCTTCTGAAAATCACCTGGGTATACAATTTCTTTCTTGTCTCTGGAATGGACTTGAGTATTTCCAAAGGGTGGTAGACACAAAACGTGGTAGAGCAGAAGCGGAATGAGATGAGATAATGACAAGGGAGGAAATAGGTAGAGCAGCCGTAAAGGATAGGACAGGAGGAAATAGAGAGGTTTGAGAAGGCAGGCAGGTCAAAGTAACTTCAAGCTTGGAGGTTCTACGAAAGTTCTCCAGAAGGTCACCTACCCACTTTTTTCCCCTTTTCAACTTCTTATTCCCTTTCTCTGTCCTCTGCTTCTTTATTCCAATTCTCCTTTCATGGGACTAGACCAAATTGTGTACAGGCAATCCTTGACTTACAATCCTTGTTAGTGACCGTTCAAAGCTGAAAAAAGTGACTTATGACCACTTTTCACACTTACGACCGCTGCAGCATGCCCATGGTCACATGATCAAAATTCAGATGCTTAGCAATGACTCATATTTATGACAGTTGCAATGTCCTGGGGTCATGGAATCTCCTTTTGTGACCTTCTGACAAGCAAAGGCAATAGGGACCCCAGATGCACTTAGCAACCGTGTCACTCACTTAACAAGTGCATGGATATCACTTAAACAACGGTGGCAAGAAAGGCCCTAAAACGAGGCAAAACTCACTTCACATCTGTCTCACTTCACAACAGAAATTTTGGGCTCAATTGTGGTTGTAAGTCAAGGACTACTTGTATTAAAATCTCCACGTTCTCAGTTGACCCTGTTCTATTGACATGGAGTAGCCTTCAACTTACCCAAAAGGAAGATGACATGAATGTCATATTGTTGGAAGAATTATCCTTCTGGGTTCAGTTCCAAGTGGGGAAGGAAGACACTGGAAACATGGAGGCTGTTTGGAAAGATGGTTTAATGGTGGACAGGAGGACCCCATGGCTTGGCGCTCCAAAGTGAAAAGGACTATCGCATGTTTTAAGATGTTGGGTGAAGGAAAAGAAGGGGCAAGAGGCTGAGAGACCCTTAGTTTCGTACCCTCTGTTGGGCCTTATCGTAATGTTTCCTGTTCCTGTGCAAGAAATGTATCCCATTGGCTGTCAGACTCCCAGGAGGCGGGGGTCTTAGCTAACTTTGTAGGCTTTGTCTGGACCACATGGCTTCACCTGAGTGTTGGCTGATCCAATCTTCCCAGGCCAGGTAGTGAGTTGGGTAGAGGCCTTTATTATGTAGAATACTCTGGCCTAGGCTTTAATGGACCTCCCGTTAGCAAAGGTGAGGGGGGCGGGGGCTGAGTTTCTGCCTCTCTGAGTTGCCACTTTACTCTTTTTAGGGGAAATATTCTTCCTTTTTAATATTTCCTAGGATATTTCAGTTTTCTAGGAGAGCGGTGAGTGCTAACTTCCTACAATATATAGCCCTTGGAAACAAACAAGACAACGGTTTGAAAATGTTGGCTGGCCTGCTTCAACCTCACGTAAACCTCTCCCCCACCCCCGGCTTTTTATAGTTAACAGTGTGTGGTCTCCCCCCCCCCACAAGTCCCTTGTTTTCCACATGCTTGTCTCTTCTTTGTCCTTCCCCAGCAATTGGACAGAAAGGCTGGGGGGGGGGATGTCAGCGGCTGAAAGGCGAGGTTTCTGGTTGCGCTGAAAGTGGCACGGTGCTGAATCCTCCTGCCACAAGGAAGTGATGCATAAAGTCATTCAATGTGAAGGGCCGGGCAACGGTGCCTAGATTTATCTGGGAGTTTAATCAGAGAGAAGAATTGCAAAAGAAAAGGATAGAGATGGCAGTGAGCTGCAAAGTTATGTGTTTGACCTTTCTATAACTAACTCCCCCCTCTCCTCCTCCTCCTCCTCCTCCTCCTCCAGAAGAGATTAAGATGGAGAGAAAGCAATTTCAGGGCATCGCCGTAGCCCCCCATCAAATGAGTAGACACTTATTCCTCTTACTCTTTTTTAAGAGAAGAAATGCAGATGAAGTCAGGCTGACGGACGCTAACCTGACACCTAAATCCGATTCTTATTCCAGCCAAGTAACTGTCCCTTATGACTTGGGAAAACAGAAGTGTTGCTCGATTGCAAAGAGGCCTTTGGCTTGCCAGAAGTCCATTGAACTGCTCCGTTGACTTTTTTTTTTTTTTTAACTATCATATTATTTACTTTTTCAACCAGTAGTCTGGGCTCGTAATCTTCAACCTCCCGAGTCTCGGGACCAATAATGAGACCCGGTGTGCGCTAATGGACTCACACTCAGCTAGTACACTTCGTAAAAGTAATATTTATATGGTAATAAGTGAGGAGAAAGGTTCGTTCTCCAAGCTTGTGGGTTGGTTTCCGGGACGTTTCGTTACCAAGCTAAAGTAACCTCTTCAGTGGAGTTTAGGGGATGTCAGTGTTCTTCTGTTTACAGGGATGGACTTTTAGCAAAGCGTTCTCTGCCCGGTTGCTGGGTGGGCATGGCTATGGTGGGCGTGGCCTAATCGGCCTCCTGCACCACGGGGAGGGGAGCATTTTTGCCATTCCCAGGCTCTGGAGGCTTTCCTTGAGCCTCCAGGAGGAAAAAAATGGCCTCCCCGGACTCCGGAGGCTCTCTGGAAGCTGGAAACGGGCCCATTTCCAGCCTTCCCAAACTTCTGGGAGGCCCGTTTTTCGCCCTAACTGAGCCTCTGCGCACATCCTGCACTTACCTGTCCCCAAAACAGGCCATGTGGGTAGTCCTAGGAGGGGAGGGGAGGGGAGGGGAGGGCAGAGCCAGCCAGGAGTGGGATTTGGGGATTCTCCAAACTGCACAGAATCTTAGCTAGGGGCTCTCCTGAACCCCTGTGAACCCCCAGCAGCCCCCCCCCCTGTCTGTTTATAAAGGCTTCAGGTGTTGGTGTGTCAAGTGAGAGTCTTGTGATGGGTCATTGGCCAGCTACCACTTGACACATTTGTGAGTTTCATTGAAGCCTGGCACTCCACAAGCAATTCCATCAACAGACACATTGACCTACAACCAGCCTACAGACCCCTCAGAATCCAAATCAACCGCACCGCCAACCAGAGACAGCACTGACCCTTCCACCAACCCATGCAATTCCCGCCACAAACCCCAGAAGTTCACCTCCCAATGACTCTGACCTGAGGTAATCTCCTTATCACAAGACCCATCACAACACTCACTGTTGGCCAGTGGTGGGATTCCAATTTTTTTTACTACCGATTCTGTGGGTGTGGCTTGGTCAGCATGGCTTGGTGGGCGTGGAAGAGGAAGGATACTGTAAAATCTCCATTCCTACCCCGCTCTTGGGGGAAGGTTACTGCAAAATCCAATTCCCTCCCCACCCCAGTAACCTGCTTTCCAGCTCCATTCTCCTGTGCAGGGCAATCAAAGAAGACCCAGCCGATCAGCTGGGACTTGGGAGGTAGAAATAGATGGGGGTGGGGCCAGTCAGAGGTGGTCACCTTCTCATTTTCAATAACTTTTTCCACTTTATGTTCCCATGGCTTTTCGGATATAGGTTGTTATTATTATTATTATTATTATTATTATTATTATTATTATTATTATTAT